TCATCTGCAATGCTCATTACTTTATAGAACAATTTTAATATGTTTATGTATTAAATAATCAACGCGAGGGCCCAATAATTAAGGAGATCTGAAAACCAAAAAGAATGACAATGAAATTTAATATTAGTTTTAAGTGTACAATTTATTCACTTTTTTTTTTAATTTCTAAGATAATGAGAGAAATGCTATTTTAGAAAAAGATAAGAATTATCTATATACAAAATGTTCATATATTGGTAGGACCTACTCTAGCACTAGAAAACAAAAAATGTTCGTATGTTTATACGAATTTCTATTTTATTGTCTTCTAGTAGACATATTTCTATAAAAAAGACATTGAATAAAAATTGTTATACTTTTATACAGATATGTATAATCAACAATTGACAAATAAATAATTTTTCTAGCAATGCATAGTTGTAAAATTATACAAACAAACCAATAAATGAAGATGTATCAAACGAAGTTGTCGCTGTTTTTACCTGCTTTATGTTTATTTCAATAACGAATCATTTATCATGGAAATTTATTAAAATGATGTCCAATTTCAGCAATCTGTTGCGTTTTTGGCGCGTAATATGACAGCATGACAATGCAGTAAGAGCAGTGTTGCAAGGTTTTGTTTCACAGCAATCTTTGACAATTTCATTAATATCAAAATGGTATCCTTTTTTGGCGAAGTAGTATTCCCAGTTTCCAGAGCATTTTGGGATGGGGATGACGAAGGTGGACCAAGTGAACGTACAGGTAATCAATTGTAAGTTGTATGTTCATTTGACCTAACCTCTTCGCTGTAAACATTCAACAATTTTTGTTATCATCTCTAATATGTATCTTCAGAGAATTTTCTCTTCGATGGCTGAAAGAAAAACCAGTACGAATCGAAACGTTAATAGTGGTCGAAGGCAAAATGTTACTCGGTAATATTTGTTTACATTTGTCAGCGTCTATAATATCGATAGCGTTATAAATGTTTCTAACGAATTTATAGATTTCACGAGAGAATGTTTATGCCAAAATGCAGAAGAAGTGTGCCTTGTAGAAGATGAAAATAAAACGAAAGTGTGTATAATTTACCAGATTAACGACGAAGTATATCTGTGCATCGTATCTCCACAGTTGGACATCAAATTTTCTGGAAAACTTGTGGATAAGGCAAGTATATTTCGCTGAAGTATATTTATATAAAATATTACTACTTTACATTAACATTACTGATCTTCTTAGATGTCTGAGATCTTGACGAATTCAAACTCTACAATTTGTGTAACGTGCCACCATGTGTCACAATTCAAGTGTAAGAACATACCAGCCACACCATCTTTTCTAAGAATGTTAGCTACAAAAAGTGGAGAGAATGTTTGTAGTTTAAAAGAGCCCCTATTAGAACAGCCTAACATTGTACATGGGGTGGCAGCAGGAGGTGGGTATCCAATAATGCACATGTTTTCAGATATAATTTTAATAATAAAGTTGTATATTTCTTTTCAGTTTTGTCATATGCAGAATTCATGGAGCTACCTGCAGTTTTATACGTTTTGTACATAGATAATTTTGTATTGGACTCGGTGTCCGCGGAACCTCTTTTAAAATTATTTACAGCAATGAATTGTACACTGCGTAATGTTTCATTTGGTGGAAAAAATTTTTTTAGTAAAGGAAATCTTTATATTTAAAACTGACCATCTGTTATCTTAGAAATTTTGTTTACTTAATTAAGATAGATATTGATAATACAAAAACTCTAGACTCAAGTTCTATCATCGATAGCAAACCTTACATATATACAATATGTACAAGACTTATTTAGTATTCTTTCAATAATACTAATTTTAAAATAATGAAACTTAAATTAATATATACTATGTTGCTGATCAAGAATTTATGCCAATATGTTAAGAAAAAGAAGGCCTCACGACCAGAAAGAGTTACTTTTTTTAACATGTTGGCGTAAATTTTATGATAACACATCTGTAAAAATTACGCTCTTAGTATCATAAGTTTCCATGTGTTAAGGTTGCGGTGGATAATATGTGCGCGGTGCGGACGCTGGTGGTACTGGATTATTTGGAGCGAAGTATGACGCATTCGTAGGATAAGGATATGGTTGAAAGGGTGGTTGGGTTGTGGTAGGAGCAGGTGGTGCAGGTCTAATTGTACTTGTCGTACCAATATGGTGCATAGGTGGTGCAATATGGTTCATTGCATTCACAGGAGGGGGAGGTACGGAAACATTTGTCGGAGGAAACGCTGGTGGATAGGTGGTACTGTTAGGTGGGAAATTAGCTGGATATGTTGGGAAGTGTGGCGGTACATCCATTGGTTTTACTGTGTCTGCAGCATCAGTAGTTGGACATCCATTCGCGGAAACTGCAACTCCTTCGACCTTGACTGACTTTCCTGGTGTAACTACAATATAACAAATAAAGGGGTTTATTTTTTAATTACTACACTAACGAAGCATCACATCTCATACCGTTTGGTGTAGTAGATGCTGATGCTTCACCGGGAGGCACTGGTACAGCTCTTTCTCTACACGGTTCGTTGGATGGCGTCATAGGGGGAGAATCTGGCGGTTTTGCATTATTAGCTTGCGAATATAAATCTAATACTTGATGACATATATCTAGAAAGAAAAGAACGAGATGTGTGTACTATGAAATTTTAAGGTTTAAACTCAAAACCAATTTTAAGTACACTTTCATGGAGTTAGAAACCTTCTAGAAGATCCATAGTAACATCTTCAACGAACATGTCCCACCAACGTAAGTGTTTCTGTTGTCTTCCATTCCAGTCGACCACTTCAAATTTACTAAGTTTCCCAGCTAAATACATGAGTGCAACAGCTATAATTTCAGGTTCCCATTGCAATGACAGTGTCGTGCATAAACTGTGTGAGAAAGTAACAGACATGTAGACACTTTAAGTGTTAAGTAGTATTATATTGTTATTACCTGTCATTAACAAATGTCCAAGCCATTTGAACCATCTTTTGTAGTTTATTTTTATCACCTTTAAGACACTTTGCATACTTTAATAAGTAGCTATAAGGATGTTCTACTTGCAGATCAAATTTAATAGTTTGTAACAAAATTCTTTCTAGTGTCATCACCTCTTCCTATGTAATAGGAAGTATTGTAATAGTAACATTATTTAGTACATTAACAAACATAAATTGGAAAACCTACTTTGGGATCTTCTCCAAATGTTGTAAATTTTTGTTCAGTCAATAAAGTTTTTGCTGTTTTAATAATATCTTTACATTTCTTTGGTGTTTCTTCTACTTTACCTGCCAGGAACAAACAACAGCATGCGGTCACCTAAGTAACACCAAACACAAAAAATACATGTAAGTGACGCAACAGCTATTTGTTTGATAAAAGTTATGATAATAGATGTATATGAATATAAACTATACAATCTATTATCAAAGAATTGAAAGTACTCACATATCGTGGAAAGTTCTTAAATGAATGAAACATATAGAATCTATGGAAGTAAACAACGCCAGTAGCCATTGTATTGTAACCTAAGTCCATTTTTGTGCCTGTGTCTATTATGAAACGTGCACCCTCTTTCCTGTATCTGCACTCTGTCTCATAATCGATCCCATCCTGAATCGATGGAGTGTTTCGCAGTTCCTTCTTCTCATAATACCAGCATGGCATTTTCGTACTTGAAAAGAAATACTGACACAACTTTACATACAATGTTTATATGTTATTAATTATTTTACAGAATGAACATCTTTTCGCCACATAGAAGTTCTAATGAATATAATAATTAATAAAAAGAAAAACTGTTGTAAATAATTAGAAGAAGGAGAAGTGAATGATAGTAAAATTGAATTCGTCTGAACTTGTATAGGTTAGGATAATTACCGATGCGAACAATGTTCCCTTCTTTCACTTGCTTATTCACTTGCCTATTTTTGTATATATATCACAGAAACGGCTCAATTCAAAAAATAATTCTACAGTTTATGGTGTTAACAATTTCAAAATATTCGTTATGAATTTATCTGCAGTTAACTTTTTCACAAAAACATGCAATGATGCACTGCGTGAACATAGCTGTACTTCAATGTTCTGAATCAAACATATGATCAAACATGAACAAAATTCTTAACCATACTTTATTACAATAATTAACATCTATTTGTTATTTTTATTGCAATTTACTGTTCATTATTTCATTAAATCTATTATTTTTATTACATGTAAAATGTATCGTTAACCCTTGTGAGCAAATCACGTGGTTATTAGAGTCATCTTCTTGGTAAATGAATCATATTTCGAATAACGAGTAAGAGATAAAAAAATCTCTTATTTGTTACTCGATTAATACAAATGACGTTTGAATTATGGAATATTTTACATTTATTTGATAATATCCAACTATTTTAGTCGAACAAACATAATAAACATAATCCTGATTTACAATCAAGATTTACTACATTTAGTACATGACATTACTTATCTGTAAATATGTTTACATTCGAAGATAAGTTTGTAGCCTATATCGATACCTTATCAATTAGTCATTTAATCCTACATTAATCAAAATCTAGTTCAGGTTTTCTCTGAAAAGAGACCTGTTCTGAATTTCTGAAAGTCGTTGTATATCTGAAAAGGAGTGTATAGCATCGCGTAAAATTGATCACTTGGACATTTAGTTTATGCGTGTCTCGTTACGAGTACAGTAGTTAGTCAGTCGCCCGAGTATTTAATTCGAAGTACAATCAAGTACAATGTTTACTAAAGGACTTGCAAAAATCGTTTCTCCAAATTAAGTGTCATTATTTCGGATTCTTGCTAACAGAAAATACCGTAAGAAAAACTTAAAATAATCATAACTGTTCTCGAACAGTTTCAAATATATTAATTAATTTCGCGACATGTATCTGTGATTCATATCTCAGCAACTCGATGGTTTACTTTTTTTCCCCCATTGTTGATTGTTGACAGTTCAATCAATAACGTATATGTAAAGGTGACTTCTTAGCTTAATTACTGAACAAAACGACTTTGATATAACGCGATTCCTATTCATGATACGTATATACACTTTGCTTATCGTAATATCGTGCTTTATATAGATATTCCATCAAATATACGTGTGTTTTAATTATATTCTTCGTCGTTTTCTACGAAGTTTATTGAAAAGCAGCCATTTCGCTTGGTTTTAAAGCAGGTGCTTCCGGTGTTCCGTGTCCACATTATCCGTGGTCTCGGTTGTGTAAATTAAACGCAACTAAATGTTAATTTATGACGACCGCGCACGCGGGAATATTCTACGACAACGTCTACAGTTTCGCGAACAATAACGCGACATCAAGTATAATGCCGTTGGCGACTCTAACAGTCCCTTGGTCCGAGCAACATGTAAACGAGAAGGTAATGTTTACATGTCAAAACAACTGCCTGGTTTTTAAATGATTCCCATTCATGAAAGTTAAATTACAATTGAAAGTTGGAATACTACAATATACTTCCTTCTTTAGCAATCTGTAGAGATTCTTCCAGCAGAGGCTCAAGAGGAAGCGATGATCACCCAGGGAAACGTGGTTGAACCACGTTCTAATGGGTGCTCTGAGTCCCATGAGATTGAACTACGTGAGGTAGTACGAGATGGTCATGAGAAAGCAGACCCATCTCAATTTGAGCTTCTCAAAGTTCTCGGTCAAGGTTCTTTTGGAAAGGTAGTTAAGTTTGTTACGTGTTGATACATAGAGGATGGGAAGCCTGATTGAGTAACTAGATACCATGGATAGAGACACCAACTGCAACACTTTCAGAAGATTAAATTGCAACATTTTTCTAAAGGAATATATATGGCTGCCATCCTTGATGTATTAAGCCTTCCAATATGGAATGGTTAGACGCTAGATCAGTCACAGCAACCAGAACCCATATTGAAAGGGTTAAGAAGGAATTAACACGAATCTAGGTGCAGTTTTTACAAATAAAATTCTTGGGTTTAGGTATTCTTAGTGAGGAAAGTTGTCGGTAAAGATAGCGGGACACTTTATGCCATGAAAGTTTTGAAAAAGGCAACATTGAAAGGTGTTTATTGAGTTAAATGTCTGAGAGTAGCTCTGAAATGTTTAAATCAACAACAAATATCTAAACAGTTTAAGTATAAAATGTGAAGATTATTTTCAGAGCTATTCTCTTCTTACAAATTGCTTTTCTCTTTTGTTTAAAGTGATCTAATGTTCCAATGTTACCTTAGTTCGGGACAGAGTTAGGACAAAGATGGAAAGGAACATACTAGTGGATGTTGAGCATCCATTCATAGTTCGACTACATTATGCATTCCAAACAGAAGGCAAACTTTATTTAATTTTAGATTTCTTAAGAGGTGGTGACCTGTTTTCAAGATTAGCTAAAGAGGTACGTTTTAATCATTGAAATTGATCTATTATGTTAATTGTTATTGCACAAACATTTATCTTTATCATTATAGGTAATGTTTACAGAGGATGATGTAAAGTTTTATCTAGCCGAACTTGCTCTTGCACTGGATCATATACATAAACTTGGAATTATTTATAGAGATCTCAAACCAGAAAAGTTTGTATTTAATTATTTATCAATAAGCATCAGTAAACTATGCAGATTTGATGTTTTTCTTTTGTTTAAAATAGTATTCTACTGGACACAGAAGGCCATATATCTTTAACTGACTTTGGTCTGAGCAAGCAACCGTTAGACGATTGTAAGGCGTATTCATTTTGCGGTACGGTAGAGTATATGGCGCCTGAAATAGTTAATCGAAAAGGGCATTCGTTTGCTGCTGACTGGTGGAGTTTTGGTGTTCTTATGGTTAGTCGTACCGCGAAGAAACACATTCTAACTCCAATCTTTATGATTTGCGAAGCATAAACTTTCAATTTTCAGTTTGAAATGTTGACTGGAGCTCTGCCATTTCAAGGTGCTAATCGTAAGGAAACAATGACGCAAATATTAAAGGCAAAACTTAGTATGCCTCTTAACATTTCACCGGAAGCACAGGCGCTTCTCAGAGTACTATTTAAGAGAAATCCCGCAAACAGACTTGGATCTGGTAATCACTCACGCTCATCTTTAAAGATGGGTTGTTTCCTTATAAGTTAATTAGTTATATTTGTTTTATCGTCACTTTAGGCGGAGTGGAAGAAATCAAAAACCACGTGTTCTTTGCGACAATCGATTGGCATGCTCTTTACAAAAAAGAGATAAAGCCTCCCTTCAAACCAGCCGTTAGTCAAGAAGATGATGCATTTTATTTTGATAGTGAATTTACATGTAAAACGCCTAAAGGTAACATTGGTGAATAGTCTTTCTAACACTTCTTGCTATTCGTTAAGGAAATACACCGATCTCAACGTTATAAAATACTTTAGATTCTCCCGGGGGACCACCAAGCGCTAACGCTCACGAATTGTTTCGTGGGTTTAGCTTCG